CAGTTCATCTTTATGAACATTTGCAAATGAATGCTACCGTTCAGTGTCTAATAAATCACAATATTAGTGAACTATTTAGGTTCCTATAGGTACTCTTTTCACTGACCTCTGCTCACTGCAGGATTCAAAAGTGTTGATTTACTAAAGGCACATAGTCTGTTCACTGTGCCAGGGGATACCCAATCATGTGTAAGGAAATTTAAAAAAACAGTATTTTTGCTTGCACATGGCTGAACAATGGAAGTCAGCAGAACTTCACCAAAGTGAACAGACTCTTTGCCTTTAGTAAAGCAAGTTAGTTCTATGCAACAAGAAACAGTCATTATACAGAAAACTGAATGAATTACATGCAGACAGATTGAACTGCTACTGAGCTGACAACATTTTTTTTGAAAATGTTGTTATTAAATACAATTTCATTATATGAGGGGGTATTCATTTAGACAAGATTACTTCTGGAATAGCACTTCCCTTATGCATTACAGTTAGAGGTAAACATTTAAGAATTGACTTTGCCACAATCTGCTTAGTATATACCTATAATTCTCTTTGATACATCCCTTAGTAAGCAAGCATTACAATATTTCTAGTAGAAAATGCATCCTTTTTTGTTTTTGTTTTGTTCTTGCATTAGCAAGTCACCCACAGGGGCATCCTGTGACATTTGGAAAATTGTTTGCCTTGCAATCTGAATTCAAATTAAAATTGGGTTTAATCAAATGTTGCCACCTACGCACTTTACTAATCCTGGAGCTTCCTGGGATTGAGGGTTGTAAAGACAGCTAACATTTTAGTGCAATTTGTGGTTTTGTGTCTGTAACATAAAATGACACCTGCTGCTAAACGTTCCCCATATTTTTTGTATAACCTATAGTATATATGTATAAATAGATACTATAGTTTAAAGTGGAAGTCATTTTCATTTTAAATAGAGTTAAATAGAGTAAGAAAGCATTAGAACCCCATTGAAGCTGCCAGTGTCCTCACTTGGTAAATTAACCCTCTTTTTTGTAATGATGAAACAGAAAGTGATTGTAAATTCAAAAGATTAGAGTTGAGTTGTCACCAAAACAAGAGGTAATGGTAATAATGCTAATAGAGATAGATGTTCAGATAATCATAGTCTAAGTGGGGAAGGACCCTCACATTGTAGAACTTTCCTCACTTTCTGTTGGATCTTCAGTTCAGAATGTGAAGGAAAAGCAACAGGATGCAGACAGCAAAAAATAAACCGATGGGAATTTTAACCCTTCCCTACTGACCAAAACTAAAAAAATATATATAGTTTTAGCTATACATACACTTTAACTTTTCAACTGCTGATAAGCCAAAAAGAAAGTCCGCTATAGAACTGGAGAACTTGCCACTTAGGTTTCCTCTTTTATTTTGTGGGAAAACAAAAAAGTGAATTTTATTGGTCACTATGGACAACATTTCAACACATCTATGAGTGTTCTATGAGAAAACTTTTTTCTCTTTTTTTGTTTATAAACAGGCCACATGAGTCAGACTACCTACTTAGCTTTCCGGGTAATAAACATAACTATTTATTGATTTCATGCAACATTAAAGTTTACAAGCGCCATGAGAACCATCATAAACAAAGCCTCTTCAAAGTCTAAATGGTTTAACTAGAAACCACATCTATGACTCCCTACAGAAGTACTAAAGAAAACTCAGCGCATCTGTTCAATCGCATGACTTGCTTTACATTAGTCCTTGATATCGTTTCACAGAGTAGGATAATCTCAAATCGATATTGATGCTAAACAGCCAGTGGCACAGTGGATACCCTCTTGCCTACTGTCAACTGATAATTACTGCAAAAGAAAAGATGTAGCATTTGTGACAAGATGCTATGCAAAGAAAGAGGAGGCATACTCAGAAATCTCTGATGGAGCTGACAAGCTGGGGATAGAGAATTATCATAACAAAGGAGAAGAGAATATATTTAGAAAAGGACTCGGAGTTTAATTAATTCATTTATGTGTCCATCACATGCAGAAAGCATCTTTCAAAACACATTTGATGGTCTATACATGTATAAAAACAAAACTATATATATTACTCTGGAACTTGACTGCATCCATTTGTTGATGGACAGAAATGGATGGTGAATGCAGATGATGTTTTTTAGGCCAGCAAAAGTGAGAGAAATAAGTACAGTATGTTATAAGTTTCTTTCCCATTAAAACAGGAAACTATAATCACAGACTTTCAATACAGCATTAAAATGAGAGAATATGGTATATTACTACTTATATATGTTGTACAGTATAAGCAGTAGCGGGCTTATTGATATGCTTTTAATACGATTATATAAGCTAGCAAATATGTAACTTCTTTGGCCAACACTTGCACCCCACTATTTGTTTTAGGAAAAGGAAGTTGTATGGTCTTTCTGGAGAGGAAGCGGTTGGGGAGGTAGATTGTACAAAAAAAGGTTGCACTGAATGCAGGTAAGGCAAACTGGAGAAAGTAAATGAAAATTAACTATGTTTAGTAAGTGTATGCAAGATGGTTTAAAGCAGATGTCTATGTTTTGTGCTACCCTGAACCCAACCAAACTTCTTAAAGCCTCCCATGGATCTGTAGAAAAAAACAAATTATGTGCATACCTTTTTTCCAGCATCCTTCAGGCCAGTCTGGTGATGTCATGGGTTCTTCCTATTCTACCTCGGTGACAGTGGGTCTTTCACGCAAGACTGAACAACACACATAATAATGTGAGCCCAGGTTGTGTGAAGATGTGCTCCACAAGCATGGCCCACAGGAAGCATATTGGGTTATCTTCAGTAACATCTGTGGAATTCTTTTTTTCTTTACATGGGCAAAGTGAAGGAGCAAAGCAACTGGAACATCGATTCCCTACAGAGTTTACTCAAGTTATTGGGGTTGATTTACTAAAAGAGTAGAGACTATTCACTTGGCAACGTAAATGTTCACCGAGTTTAGTAAATGGGGTGAATGGTGTTCACTTCAATCATCTAATAATGTGTAAGAATACATCCCCAGATAGCAAGCAATTGAGCTGCAAGTTTGAAAATGACTTGCTAAACTATGGCAGGCTTGCCAAGCTTCACAATGTTGTTGCACAATTACAGCAAGTCTGCATAGTCTCCAGACCAGCGAGCTTGCAGAGCTCTTGCTAAGACCTGCAGGACTCTTGCTGTAGACTTGCCAAGCAAATTTGCTACAAATTCAAAAAGTGTCAACTAGTACTTGTGCTGCGAGTGTTCTGCAAGTCTACAACTTGCCAGGAATGTGTGCAGCAAGATAACAAAAATTACAATTTCACCCTGCCACAAGTTTGTAGCAAGTTATCCTTGCTATCTGGGTCCTGTATTCTTAATTTCCCTTGCACAATACTGGGTATTCAAAGTGAACATAGATTTTTTGCTAAACTCAATAAAGATTTTATTTGCTGAGGGACTAATCTATACTTCCTGAAAGTGTATGGATTGCACGGGGAAGTGGTGGTACTCCTGCTAGATTATCTATGCAGGGCTCTACTAGAGAGAATTTCACCTTCTGATAACATTTTACCAGACAGGAAGTCTCCAATATCGTCAAAGACAGAAATAAAAATGTTTTAATTTAGTAGATGAGGGGAAAGCTAGAACCCCTGACAGGTTTTGTATTTCTGTCTGCATCCCTTTTTAAGATTTTTACTATTTTCCTGTCTGATAAAACTGTTGTCAGCAGCAGATTTTAATTATTTGGTGGTATCTTCTCCACATACAGTATTCTGGTTGCTAGACAGGGGTTGGCTTGAGTTATCCGGGCTCCTTGCCCCTAATAGTTTGTGATGATCCATATGAGCATCACAAGCCCAGGGCTAGGGCTTGTGATAGCTTTTGCTACCTAACATCTAACAGTGTCGCTGTGGCTTGCCTTGCCTAGTTTCTATTGTACTGACCCTTGCTTTGGATACTTTCAGAGTGCTGCCTGCCCTGAACCTTGCCTCGGATATGGATTACTCACAGAACACATCTGGCTGTTACCTCTCTCTTTCCTATCTTCTGAGGATCTTCTTTCACATTGTTTGAACTAAAGATGCACCAATACCGATACTAGTATCATTATCGGTATCAGTGTTGATACCGAGTATTTGGGCGAGTACTCATCCATTAATATTAGGGAATATTAATTCATCTGAGTATCATACAGAAAGTCAGATAGCTACAGATAATCCTTTCCATGTTACAAAACTTCAGGCCCCTTTCATATCTTTGCATGCATTTTATCACTTTGGTACATACTGTGTGTAGAAATATATTACAGTATATTCAATAGAGTCTGTGCAGAATTCCATACTGCACAGTTTATAGAAAAAAAGTTAAGAGTATTTTCTAAGTAGGATTACTGATGTAAATTCAGGGCTTAACCGAAAACAAATGTGTATCCTATAGAATCTTAGGAAAACTAAAGATGTGTACAGAAATAAGAGAATGTTAACTTGATCTGACTATTAGTTGGTCAAAGAGGGTATCATTCGTATGTCTGTAGGCCCTTCCTAACATGTCCCAACTGAGTTTAGTGCAAAATGGTTAGCCAGAATGGATCAATTGTACTATTATTGATTATTTTAAAAGATTGTTTAGCAGTCGGACTATACATGTACATCTGGCCACCATCAAAAATTTGTATGCAGCTTAAAACAAAACAAAAAACAAGGTTTAAGAAAACCTGTGCTTATTCATGCAAAGCAACAGGTTCACATAGCAACATCAGCACATACTAACCTTTCCTTCCAAGGTGCTGGAGGTGAAGCAATATCAAGTACTTCTGGGTATGGAGGAGCATGTAACCAACTCCATGTGACAGTATCTGGGCATATCACCAAGCACCACTGCTGTCACATGTGAAGAGTTTATAGCCCTATGTACGCTATGACTTGATCAACCCATAGATTATATAGGTCAGCATACCCAAATTTTATATTTAAAATATTAATATTCCTCACATAATGGGGAGGATCTCCTAAAAGGAGTATAGGTTGGTGACTTAGTAAAGTAAATGTTTACTGAGCTTAATAAAAAAACATAAAGCTGTAAATGCTGGGAGATACCTGGATAACTGCATTAATGAAGTAAACACAACTTCACCTGATGTTGTAAGCTCCATGAACATTCACTTTGCTAAAGAAACAGTCTGTACGCCTCTAGTAAAACCACAACGTATCACTCTATCAAACTCAAGTTGAAGCAATTTTGTTGCTAGATTAAAAGGTTTTCAAGAATTCTGCCTGTAAATAAAAGAGGTGGTTATCTTTTGTCCACTCACCTGTGTCCCGTAGTGGCATATGGCATGATGCTTGGAACTACAGAATGCAGCAGGGGACCAGGCATCCGACACACCTGGAAATGTGTCGGATGCAGAAGATACTTCAACCACCGGACTTTTTGCAGTGGGCCAAATGACTCCTTTCATTATAGGCAATCCCTTTTGTAATCCTTTTTAATTATCTCTTTTGACTCTTAATCTAGGGAGAAAGACGCTTTACTATATCAAATTGCTGCCTGATCTGCATAGTAATAGATACACTGATAAGTTGACTAAAGGTACAGCAGTGGCTCCTATACTGCTACTAAATTATTTTGATTGAAACACCCGTGGTACATATTACATTAAGGCAAGTTTGTTTTGTATATCCTTTTAGCAAAAGTAATGTTACTATGCATTTTAAATAAGTTATGTTTATGCTTTATTACAAATTAGACTGGCAGAGAAAAATCCATAAATGTATGCCCTTATATCACAGTAGTTTTAGCGTGAGTTACAGAAGCCAGGGAACATTATTGATCTTGTCATGCTTGTGGTCGGGTCATTAATTTTAATTGTGATAGCTCCGGACTACCTAGTGTTTGATGCCTGAGGTGACAAGTTACAATTATATTGTGGGGCTCATGGGATCAAGTTCTGATTAGAAACATTTCAAGTGATAGTTCACTATAGTGCTGATGAACATCTCACTTAGATATGGTTTTCTGTTTGCTTGCTAAAGAAATCAGCAACTTCTGACAGAATTTCCTAAAACAAGAGCAGATAAGTATGAGAAAATAAGTAATGACTTCTCATTTTCAACATTTCTATTTTCCATAGAAACTGTCAACAATGGACACCAATAACAGACCCTACGTGTGTGATTTTGTTTCTGAAGTAATATGTAATGTTCTTTCTAAATGGAAGTGGAAATCAATATTTCTTATTAATAATTTCTACCACACATGGCACATTTGTATCACATTGTGATTCATAAGAAAGTGTTGAATGTAGAAGTGGTATTTAAATTGAAGCAGGTGGGAGAGAAATATGGAGCTGTCATTGCTTTGTAAAGAGATCCCATAAGTTCAATAATAAACAAATAAAAAAATCAGGTACCTGAAATACAAGATACATTTTATTCACTCAATCGTGCATCCAGGGCTAGTGATTGTTTCCTAATCACATATAATTGTATCATATATGATTACATGTGGTGTACCAGTGTACCTGCTGCTTTCAAATTTCGTCCACTGTTACCCGATCATTAACTTGAACAGGTGACAATTACCACTTGTAAACAGCAGATTTGGGATACCTGCTGCAGGAAATTGCTACCTCCTGAGGCAAGAATCCCTAAATGCACCTACATTAAATGTATGGAAGAAGTCTTAAATGTGTTAGGTTCTGAAGTTTTATAGAAGTAGAATGTATAATGTAAATGCAGACTTGGTTTTATTATACTGTACATCTTTACTATGTTAATATAATCTTTTATAATAAACTATACTATATTACTATAATCTTTTCATAAATAAGCCTTTGGTAAATACAAGAAATCACAAAGCACTATTTTCTTTCTAAAGAGAGAGCAGAGTGGAAGTTATCTTTTTCCAGACACAGTAATAGGCTCGATTCCCTAAGATGGATGAGTTATTTTAATAACACTACTTTTTATACCTTATCATAGTTTTCTCCTAATAATGTCTATGGAGGGTCTCATTTATTCAGGTCATGGTATAGCTAGTTATAGTTAGTCACAGTCAACTGGACTTGTTCTGTAATGTTGAAGACGTTTCATAGTTTATACAAGCTACTTCAGTTAAAAACGGATGTGACCTGGCTAAGCTACAAAATGTCTTCTAATATTTTTCACTTCACATAAGAGGGAATTAATTACAGGGTCTGAGCTAAACTTTTTCTTACCTTTTTCCAAACTGGAGTGCAGCTCTTCATCTTTTACATTTTTGGTTGTTATGGGTAACTGCACCAGTTGAGATAGAAATTGTCTCAGACACTTTTCCCCCCAAATTTCCCCCAAAGCATTACTTTATCACCATCCTACACATCTCCTTCCCGTACTATCCTGAAGATTTACACATTTCTAATTTATTCTGTTGGAAAAACATGTGTGCATCCTAGATGAAAGTTGTGGGGCTCTTGGGTGAAAACAATTACAAATAGACCCCGAGCGTTAAAATATCAGTAGCAGTGGTAAAATGACACTCCATACAGAGTAAGGTAAATAAAGCATGTTGTGAACCTTTCTGAATTGAGATTTAAGAGATATTAGTTGGATAAGGTGAGGTATTAAAGACATAACGACATAAGAGAAAAACAGCTTTGTGAATTAGACCTCATATCTAATTGAAACCTCCCTCAGACAGTTACTCTGTTGTGAGTCATTCACTTGTGTATATAAAGCTTGTCAACAGCAGGAGAGCACTGAAAATGAAGGGAAGCCTAAATCCTCACCTGCCAACTAGAAAGAGGAATACATTATATACTGTATAAGGATTACATGGTATTTTTATGCAATATTTAATTTTTACTAAAATGAAAAGAAAAACTTTTGGTTAACATTTTTAAATGATCTATAAAACCACAATATATTTGAAGAATTCACTGACTGCATGACTTTTTTGGTCATTTTAGGATAGGGGGCAGATACATGAAAATCATTGGAACATCCCAAAAAAACTGTGCTGCACCCTGTGAGCCCGACCTTCAGCTACCCTGCACATGATGCAGGGTTTATGCTGTCACCCTACCTCCAATTACTTTCACATTCATAAGAAGATATCCTTATTCATGGGTCATGTGGGTGAATGTAACAAGCTCTTGTCTGTAAGCCCTGCAGACACTGCTTGATGAAAGGTCTGTGGAAAATAGTGATTGAATAGGTCTTAATGACACTGTTTTCTCCAAGATAATCTGGTGATGGAGGTGTTCATGATTCTCCACTTTTCCCTCTCCATAACATAAAAATGTACACTTGGTTGATCCTACCAGGTTTATGTCTGAAACTAGATATAGATACATTTTCAGATGCATGGATTATGACAGCACATCGGAGCATTCCTTGATGCCCATCACCACCTTTAAATTAGTCATAGCCATTAGATGGCTGTCAGATTTGAAGACTCAATCTGACTGATAGTAAGATAATGGTTGTTTCACTTCTGGAGATCCAATGCTCTTAGTTTATCACCTTTGTCTTGGTCTGTCTACCTGATCGGTAACCAATATATTGCAAAAAAGGAAAAGAGAACGGACCAATTAACTAGTGTAGGAGGTCCAAGGGTTAACTGGAGATCGGGACAGACCAAGTAGTATTCATTTCAAATTTTTTTTATTGATTATAAAAGTAGAAAAAAAGGACACAGCCAATATCTAGCAACCAATCAATTAAAAACAGTGTGACAAACAGTACAAAAAAAAAAAAAAACAACATCAATGCTGACTGTAACAAAAAAATCGTCAGTAGGATATCAAAAACCCTCTCAATCTATTGGGACATATCGGTGTCTTGATCAAATAATCAGCTTCGTATAGTATGTTTTCAGGTGGGATGACCCCTATATCATCAATTTAGCACCTCAAAGTACCATGGAGAAGTCATTCATTTGTTAATTTGTACCCATCATGTATCCTTAGATTTTGTAATAGGGAGTTTAATCATGAGAATAACTCTCAGTCCGTGTATTCCCGTGATATATGGACTAGATACTTTGTAGTTAGAAGTTTATCAAAGTGACACAAAGATTCCAGTGGTTCTTTTGATAGGTATGTCCCAGACGGGGAGAAAAGAACTTCAAAGAACTTGTCAAGACACCGATGTGTCCCAATAGATTGAGAGGGTTTTTGATATCCTACTGACAATTTTTTTGTTACAGTCAGCATTCATGTTGTTTTGTTTTTTTTGCACCGTTTGTCACACTGTTTTTAATTGGTTGGTTGCTAGATATTGGCTGTGTCCTTTTTTCTACTTTTATAATCAATAAAAAATTTTGAAATTAATACTACTTGGTCTGTCCCGATCTCCAGTTAACCCTTGGACCTCCTACACTAGTTAATTGGTCTGTTCTCAATCTGACTTATAATCAGATGATGCCATGACAATGGACAAACAGTAAGCCTCTGCCTTACAATTAGCAGAAGCTTGGTCAGCCTGCCTGCAGGCTCCTTTAGTTAGCCCTTGGCCCGCTTTTTGAAAGATCTAACAGCTGACCAAAGGAGTGCGTAGTGCAGGCTGAGATAACGATTGTCACCTGTCAAAATCAGCATATATAAATTATTGTTCAAGAACAGCAGTTGTAAAGTCTTGGAAATTCTTGCCCTGC